TTCACAGTGCTGCGACTTAACTCCTTGTGCCACCAAGGAGGCCCCCACCACCACTGTATTTTGGAGGCATGTAACATCTCTGCTTTCTCAGCTTCACCACTAGAGAGAATTTTCCCCCAGATGAATCATTATCCAGCTTTACTCACACCTGACTTAGATGATATTTACATGAGACTTTGAATTAGAGTGATGCTAGAATGAGTTAAGACTTAAGGGTTTGTTTGTTTGTTTTAATTCCGCATGCAAAACACATTCCTCCATGAAGGACATGAATTGGGGAGACCAGAAGAGGTGAAATGAATATATTCCTTCCTTCCCAGATTTTATATTGAAGCCTTAATCTCCAACATGATCATCCCTAGAGACAGGGACTTCTGGGGGGGGGGGCGGATTTATGGTTATTAGAAGTCTTGAGTGTGGGGCCTTGCTGATGGGTTATAGAGTCATCATAGCTCACATTTGCTCTGGCTCCAGCTCTCTCATCTCTCACCCTCTCTCTGTCTACTCTCTCCCCACCTCCATCTGTTCCTCTGCCTTGTGAAGCCACAGCAGGAAGGCACCATCTGCAAGCCAGAAAGAGCTCTCATCAGAACACGAGCAAGCTGACAGCCTGAGCTTGGAATTCCAGCTTCCAGAACTTATGAGGAAATTCTATTGTGTCAGCCACCCAGTCTGCACTATTTTATTCTAGCAGCCTGAGCTGATGAAGACAATGGTGAAGCTCCACAAGGCAAAATTCTCTGGCATCTTTACCAGGTGACATGTTCATGTCTATGGACAGGAGTCACTGGCATCACTGTCAGTTTCCTACAAGTTACGAAGTTGAAGAGTGGCTCAAAGATGACAAAAGCACAGAAAACAGTGGACATGGAGCCAGACAGCAAGTAATCTTCCCCACCACCGTCAGAGTCCCGCGCAAGTTGCTCTCGCATATCTTGGTCTTCAGACCTCACAAGAAACCTCTGGGCCCTGCAAGCCCCTTCTGTCCTGGGTCCTGTGTGAGTCCACCTGCTGTGGATGATGGTTCTCAGGGCTGAGGCATCAGAGCGGCTGCCAGCTACCCAGCTCATGCACCAGGCCCTGGTCATTCTGCCATAACACCCTCCTGAAGCCACTCACGCATACTTACGGTCACCACACAGCCAAACGAGGAAGGGACAAATGAAAGCGAGGAACACTCACTCACTGAATTCTTACATGCCAAGTCTTTATTATGTTCAGGTACTTCTTTGATAATTAAAAGTAAGTTATAGTTTGATAATTAAACTTTGATAATTAAAAGTAAGTTGTAGTTCCCCTAAAACAATCTCTAAAATATAAAACCATTCTTCTATATGTTCAAAATAATCCTGCTTAATAAAATTAATTTCACATTTAATAAAAATAGAAAAACAGCCCTTTTTCATTAATCAACTTGTCAAAGAGATAGAACTAGCTGTCCCATAAAATAGCACACTTTCTGGCATTTTCTATTGCTCCTTAATGGTATTGAAGACATTTATGACATTAACCTATCTTCTATCTTTCCTAGAGACTGCAATAGCTAAAGTCTTGATTCGAGACCCCCCTCCTTAGTGGGTGACTCTCTCTTCTGGGGCACAAGCTGCCTCTAGGTGAGCACTGCAAAACCGTGCTTGGCACCATTTGTGATTTTTACCTTTTGTAGTAAAAGGGAAAATCCTTTTCAGATTTCTTTCAGCTGTGGAAAACTAATGTAGGTCTTTCATAAAAGTCAAATGACTTAACATAAGCTTTCAAAAATCAGAAGAAACTTGTATTTCATCTTGAAAATAAACTGCCTGTAGTGACCTTTCAATTCAAAATGGAGCTTCAGATAGAAGTGGACCTATAGGTGTGAATTTAAGGCAGTATATACAGGTGTTGATTTATCACACCTGAAATTTATGATGTTATAATACATTATATATAACGTATATAATACCCTGTGACTTCAGTACATATATACATCATATATATGTATATATATGCATGTATATATAATGATATATATGTATATGAGTGATAATGATATATGATATATAGTGATAAATATATATCACTTATAAAGCTTATCACATATATATCACTTATATAGGTTATCATATATATATATCACATATATATATATGTATCACTTATATAGCTATACACACACATAAAAGGAGCTTGAGCTAACAGGGCTTGTTTTTATCTCCTTCAGGCTAGAGATGGTCGCAGCCCCAGCCCTGACCCCTGTGAAGGCTGCAGGGACAGTCCTGGGCACCTCCCCTCCCCCCCCCCCCCCCCGGCCCCCCCATCTCTCCAGCTCTGCACTCAAAAGCAGCTATCGGCTATCCAGGCTTTCTTTATCTTTGTGATTCTTCACTGAATTCTCATGTCTATTTCCCCCCAAGGGAGGCCAAAAATGAATACAACATTCCTGGCAAATACTGGGAAACTCAGATCTTTTATTGCATTTCAAGTTTGAAGATCTTAGGAATTAGAGGCTGTGAAATGGATTTGCAAATTTGAATCAAGAAACATACGTTGTGCAAAGAATGATATAGTGAATATTTTTTTTAAAAAAAAAAACTTAAATTCATAAGAATATTTACTCTAAGGACCCATGAGAAGTGGGCTTTTAAGTGCTATCTTCAGTATTTCTTACTCTCTTCAGTAATGATTGTTCAGAAAATCAATAACGGGTGATAATAGGCTGAGAAAAGGTAGTACAATCTCCATTACTCCAAAACCCCTTTAATGAGCTACATGGACTCTAAAACCCCTTTTAATGAGCTACATGTGTGTTCAGGAAAGTTTCCCTGAAACCCAGGAGACCTCCCAATCCCTGTCCAAACCACCTTTCAGGAAAAAGAAATAACCTTTGGAAGTCAAGTTGAAAAACAAATATATTAATTACATGTTCCGTAAAAGCCCAGCGCACTGAACACAGAGATGGAGCAGGTATAGAAAGTCTTGGCTACAGGAAGAGGTGTTCAGGAGGTAAATCGTTTGAACTGATTTAAATCCACCGACATTATTTTTCTCACTATAAAGAGGAAAATATAAACCTCCAACAAGGAAAAAGAGTCTGTGCTGTTCTCACCCAGAATGAGGTGATTCCAGCTTTTACAAAGGCAGTCTGTGCTGATGACCCACACTTACTCACAAAGGGAGACCCTTCTTAGGGGGAGCAGTAAATGCATTTTGCAAATTGGGACAAATCCACAGGAAATGTCACCAGGAGGCCGATTTCATCTTAATGTCAGGAGCAATATTTTTTATTGAGCCAAAATAAACATAATATAAATGCATCACTTTAACTATGCAGCAATGCACTCCCTCCCTGCCTCCCTTCCTTTTAACACAAAGGAAAAACTATTGGTTACCCTGGCTGACTGTCCATCAAGGAAAGCTGTAGCTAGAATAGGTGCTTACACAGGTCACACTTAGACAGCTGGACTAGAGGGCTTTAAAGCCCTTTCTAAGGTGATGTCTGGGCCTCCTTGGGGGGGTGGGAGGGCAACATGCTCTCCAAATGCCTTGCCCCTCCTTGCATCGATGGTGACACCTACATCCCCTCACCTTGAATCTGCTATCAGTGACTCCTTGATTAATAGAATGTGGGAAAAGCGAAAGCGACACTAATACCAATTTCCAGCCTTTAAGAAACTGGCAGTTTCTACTTCCTGTCTCATGGCAGCCAGCCACTGTGCTGGGAGGAAGAGACACAGGAGGAAGCCAACACTTACCCACCAAGTACATGGACTACCTGGAGCAGAACCTCCAAGCCCTGGGCTGTCCCGGTGACGGCTGGGCCCAGCTGCAGTTGGCTAAGTCAGGGATCGCTTTTGTTTCAGCCATTATGGATTTAAGTTACCCCTTCTAGAGAGGCGTCCTTTGGCCACAACAGAGAACCAAACAGTGCAAATATATGACTCAACCTAAACTCACATTTCCACACGGTGCCTAGGGCTTCCAGCAAGGCCTCTCTGCAGAGCCCTCAATATTTTTCACACATCACAGACAGCAAACAGCCTGCATCCCCTTTCCCTCTGCCACTAGCCAATTTAGGCCATCTCTGCCCTACAGATCTACTGAGCTCCACCTTCTGCCCAAAGAGCCTCACTGTTTGCATTTCTTGGGGAATCTGTTTCTCTGAGCCCCAGACACTCCCTGGCTCCTGGGTGTGTGGCCTTGGGGTGCAGATTTCAAGGGACAAGATGGAAGGCATGCATCCTGGATGCAGGGAAGTGCCGCTGCCCTGGCTCTGTGGTGTCCCACAATCTCAGAGGGAGCTGCCCTGCAGGCGGAGGGGCAGAGCCGCTTAGGGCCCAGGCTGTGTCTGTGACGCTGCCCCGTGTTGGCCCGCACTTGCTGGGGAGGTTAAGGCCTGGCTCGGGTCGGGTCGGGTCACCGTCCGTGGGTTCAGCCCCTAGCCTCCCGGGACCATGCCCCCTCCCACCTTCATTTCAGGAAGGAAACAGTTAAGAGACAGGCCTTTAAGGGCCGGGAAGGGGGCGGCAGCTTTGTGCTTTATAGCAGCAATTTCCTAGGAGGGCTGGGAGGCTCCCTGGGAGGCTCTGGCTGCTCTGGAGTGGCGTGGAAGGTCTGGGAGTTTTGGGAAGAGCGGGAGGACCGCCGGGAGGCGTGTTCCTCTGGAGC